ACGATGTAGGAAGCGGAGTTGGTGACGTCCACGGCGCACTGCACAATGTCGTAGTCACGGTTGCGCTGCTGGTCCTTGTGGCCTTTGATCTTCAAGGCCTTGTCGACCGCCGGCGAGGCTCCCGCCGGGACGAACTCCTTCCAGGGAGGGGAGATCGTCTCTGTGCGGGTGAGGATCTGGAGGGCGTTCTTGCCGAAGTTGCAGTCTGCCCGAGCAGCGGCGCCCACGGTGGCGATCTCACCGAAGTTGGCCATGAGCGCTGTGAAATCACCAGCACAGAGCGCACCGTTGTTGACAGCCTGGCCGCAGGCGTTCGCCGCAAAGGAGAGGTATGAGGCGATCCAGCTAATGGACGTGATGAAGCCTGCGACACTGGCGGCGCATCCAACAGGCGAGTTGTTCGGGCACTCAAGCCCATCGTAGTCAATGGCCTTGTAGAGGAAGACGACAGCCTGACCCAGGTAGGCGGCAGCCTGGACGGTGTCAATGACGCATTCCGTGCGGATCCTTACTTCCCAGATACCCACGCCCGTACAGGGAAAGCCTTCAGAACCACACCAAACTTTTGGAACCCAACAAACCCCTAAACTACGGAAGCCTAAAGACCCCTACTTGAACCCTAAACCCAACAAGTTACAAGGTTGGGTATTGAAGAGCCGAACTTCCATGGCAACTCCTCGGGTTGGGAGTCATAGAAGAGATCCTGCAAGTTGCGCAGCGGCTTGTCCTGCTTCAAGCTCTGGGCCTTGCCAGGGTGATCCAGGGTGGATTTCAGAAACATAGACCCCAAACCCCAAACCCCAGACCCTGATCCCCCCCAAACCCCAGAAACCGTGGGCCTTGCGGACGACCTTGTCAATACCAGGCAACTCCTCCCAGGTCTCAGCGGCCTGGATGGTACCTGTACGGCTTCAGTGTTTGAATGAGCTCATAAGGTTGAGGGTTTTAGGGCTTAAGGTCGCAGCATTTAATCCGAGGGTCTGATTTACAAAAGGGTTCACGTTTAAAGAAATTTTTGCGGGCGAGGATTGGGGTCGGAAGAGGAATCTCAATTGCGGGTGGATTTCGTGTGGGGAAAAGGTCTCACATTTAAAAGAAAATTACTTTGAGGGTATCGGCTGCTCCTGCAGTCTTTGCTTTTGTTGGCTTGCTTCTCTAATGCGAAGCTGCAAAGCTTCTCTGGGACCCGGGTCTCTCCCAGCAGCAGAAGCTGCCCTCCGAGCTCAAGCTTTTTCCAAAAGCTCAGGCCTCTCAGAAAGCTAGGCTTCCTTATTAATTCGCTTTTCAAGGGAAACCATTTTTCATTCTGTTCTGAGCCACGCCCCCTTATGGTGCCTGCGCGGCAGCTGCTCGATCCAGATTTAGAAAAAGGTCTCACATTTATAGCCAGCCACCGGGGCCGGCCCGGCTGCTCCTGCAGTCTTTGCTTTTGTTGGCTTGCTTCCGTAATACGAAAGCAAAGCTTCTCTGGGACCCGGGCCTCCGAGGTTTTCCATTAATGCGGGTCCCTCAATTTTAATTCTGAGGGGGGGGGCCCCCCCCACTATTTAGACTCTCGGATTAGTGTTTAGGGCATCAGCATTGTAGCATTGAGGAGTCTCATGGCTGAGGGTTTGAAGCACCTAAACATCGGGGTTCTGTGGCTTGGGGGTTCTATGATTCCAAGACCACCTGCAAGGCGCTTTCCCGAACACTTTACTTGTCACATCCCCTTCCCTAAAACTTTAAACCCTACACAACGAATCGAGCATCTGTAACGGAATAAGTCCTCATGTCATGTCTAGTTTGTGTGGTCTTCTCGCCCCGAAGCCTTTCCGTGCAGCAGTCGAGGAAAACAGCAGGCCACCGGAGCTCGTTGCCTTACATGTGTGCAACTCAGAGTTCAAACCTAGGTAGCCTGTAGCCGTCATGTTAACCCCAAACAAGTAAAGAACAACCTAAACAGTAAACTTAAAGGTTACGTATCCGAGACGTATATTACACATCACATACCCTAAACTCTTGCTGAACCCTAGGACTAGCAAGCCCGCTAC